TGTATATCGTAAAATATTGATAAATTATAGGCATAATATATAGTTTTCTATTTAGTATTTTTCTTCGTATTAAGCGGTCCTCTTAGGCGACATCGAAGACAATTTCGAATTTTTTCATTCTCCGTGCCATGTATTTGGCAAATGCGATCCCTCAGTTGTATGCGAGACAGCTCTTTTTCTTTATGGCGCACTCGGGGAGTTTTCACAGGAGATACTAGATCTTTCGTAGATAGGAAATTGGCGGTGTTTCCATACTCTCGCAGGTGACTGTACTGAGAGTTATCCATATTGATTTCAACCATTGGAAGAACTTTTGATGATGTCGGTATTAGTTCCATAGCGGGAGCACTGCTGCCAGAAGATGGTTGATGTATTGGACTTGGAACAGTTTCTGAAATAGTTTATTTATGTTAGTGGAATCGTTTTAAGTGATCATCGTTCTTACCAATAACTTCCACTAAGCTCTCTGTACTATTATTCAAATTATTAACGGACTCTGCGTTGGTCATCAGCTCGGAGTTAGAGCCAATTTGGTCCGTGATAGTAGATGCGCTCTCCATCTCAGCAGCATCCATGTCTGACAAAAAGCAGTCTGAGTCCAATGCCTGGGAACGAGCTGCACTGTTACGCTTGTGGACAAACCAAGTTTCAATCTCATAAAACAGATCGTCCAACACTTTTAGCTGACATTTCTTTTTGACGTCGGCGATTATGAGGCTCTCCACTTCACTACGGACTTGCTGCTCGATCTCCTCTCTCACTTGTTGTTTGCACACGACAACTAAGTCACTCTTGTGGCTGTCTATTTCGCGTCGAATCATTTGAGCTGCCTCCCTGCGCCAACGGGCGTTGCTTTCCGAGCAAGCTGTTGGCGTGCAGTTGGCTACATCTTTTAGCAAGAGTACATCCGACTTGTCACTATCTAATAAGTTACTTTCATAGTCAAAACTCCGGCCAAGGCGTGTCAGCTGACGTAGACGGCGATCAGCCGCATGACAACGTTTGCGAAAATAATGAAACTCTTCCAAATGCAGTCGGCAGACTTGGCAAATGAGTTGCGGAAGTTTGTCGTTGGGATCAATTTCTAGACCTGTGCAGGAAAGGATTTTCACGGCCACTTGGCCATTGCTGATAACGAAGTTGGCATCTTTCCGTAGACACAGTCGGCAAACAGTTGACATCCTTCTTAATATTATTTTTAATTATGAGTATTAAAAATAATATAGAAAGTCTAAACTGCAAAAGGACGCCTTGTTACAGTGTGACCAAAATCGATATTTGCAAAATATACCAGCATAACTTCAGCTTTACAAAACAAATACTAAAAGTTGACAAAAGCCATTTGGCAAATTAAAATACTGAAATAAAGCAGTATTTTAAAAATTCATTTTTAAATTTATTTTTACATTTATACTTGTGCGTAAAATTGCAGAACTTTGAATAAGAATAATGGGGTTTGAAAATCCAACTTTCTCAGCCTCTTTTGATATTATTAACGTATCTAAGCATTTCAAATTAGCAACATGATGTGAAAAAGGGAGAAAGGTACATTTTAGAGAGTAAATCTCCTTAAGGAAAAAAAAGTATAGTTCAACCAATATATATGAAAATCCCAAGCGATACATTCCCTCATTTCTATTACATTTTTAAAGAAGTAATTAATAATCAATGAATTTCCATATGTCTCTTCACAGGGCTTCAGTATTAGCTGTAGCTATAAAATTCAGAGAATACTTCTAAAGACTTTCCCATTGTAGAATCATCACCAAGATACATAAATCACTAGCGAGTATTGCGCAGTCGATTCCACTCAAATAAAAACACATTGTCAGTTATGAAACAATTTTGTTATAATTCATTAAATATTAAGTATAAATATGAAGTTAACTATCAAGTATTATATACACAATTACAATAAGATATTCAGTCACTATAATGCTTCTATATACACAAAACGATATACATACATAAACATATATGCATTTACATTATCATTTTCCAAAAATTTGAACTCACTTCCGCATCTTCAATAAATATATGCATTAATATCTTTTTAAAAATATACAACAGTCGTGATGATCGTCGCTTTAAGAATTGGTTTGGGGCCTCAGGATCTCTGCCAAAGGATTACCTACTTACAGCTAGGTGTTCGTTTACAAAAGGTCAAAGATAATTTTAATAAATAGTATTGATCAGCATTAATCATAATTAACATTGAAATACAATCATTTTTTTTTCTTCATATAGGCGTATAGTACATACATAACTACAAAATATATTACAATAAATTTGACGTCTACGTCGGCATGTGGAACTGCAAATATGTTTCAAGTATGTGTGATGTGTGTGTGTGTGTGTGTGGGTGTGGATCGCCTAATCGTGACGCCAGCTCTGTGGCAGCACATAGTCCTTCACCTTGTACAAGGCATTGGCATACCAGTGCAGTCCGTTCTGCTGCTGCGCCGTGGCATCCTTTGGCGTTGGCTTGTCCTGCGCCGAGCGCAGCTGACCCTTGGCTGGCATCCAGGACTGTAGCGTGGACCACAGTCGCATAGGCGCCAGGCCCCAGTGCGCCAGCGACTGGCTGCTGATGACGGCGTAGCAGGAGGCGGCCACCGAGTTAACCACAATGGTGCCCTCGCGCGTGAGGGGCGCCACAACGCCGCGACTCTGTACACTGTCCACCCGGAGCACGCGCTGTGGACGCAGCTCGCCCGTGGCATCGCGCACCAGCACCTGGCTCAGCTCCTCCACGCGATCCGCGAAGACAAACTCGAGCGTCTGTCGCTCCGGCTGCCACACGGCTATCAAATGCGCGGGCGTCACGGTGAGCACGGCGCCACCATCTGTGTGCAGTTGCACAAAGTTCTGCACCTGCTCCAGATTGCGGTCCATGAAGAGTATAACCTCGCTGTACACCGGCTGGCCCTTCGTGTCCATGCTCAGCACCCGATCACCGATGGCGAGCTCGCTCAGCGCCTTCTCTGCGCCGCTCTCCAGCAACGCTGTGCTCTCGGGCGTGAAGCAGCCATGTACATGGGAAATCGAAGGCGACGAATCTGAAGAGAGAGAGAGAGAGGGAAAAAGGTATTAGTCAGCCGTTGACAGGAGTGAGAAAGAGGAGGGGAAACGCGGCCAGGTAATGGCATTAGTGAGCCTAATCTAATTTGGCGTTAATAATACTTGCCCTGCCAACCGTCAAACCGCCCAACCGTCCAATTGCCAAAAACCCTACAAGTCAAAAAGGTTTTCACAGTTAGGACGCAAGGCGAACCGTAATCGCAAACCCGTAACCCGTAGCCCGTAGCCCGTAACCCGGCCCAGTGCAGGCAGCCAAAACAATGGCAACTGCCTTTTGCGGCTTTCAAACAAAAACCGCCGCCAACTGCACGAAGAGCGCACAAAATGCGATCTGCCAACTGATAGCCAAGCATATCAATAACATGCACAATAGCAGCAGCCACAACAACAACAACAACAACAATAACTGAGGCAACAGCAGCAGCAGCGGCAGCGGCAGTGGCAGGCGAGGATGTTTTTGTTTCGAGTTTAACAAAATTGTGATCTTGTTATTTTTTGCTTAAAGATTAGCCCTGGGATCAGCTCAACGAGCCTGAGCTCGAGCTCGAGCCAAAGCAGCTTAGTCACAGCCACAGCCACAGCCACAGTGCACCAAGTGCCAAAGGACGCTCAGGTAGAGGCTCTGCCAGGATCTGAGCGCAACCTGTGCACAAATTCAATTACCAAACATGTTGCAACCCAGCGACGATCAACAGCAGCCGCATTAATCATCATCATTAATAGCTATTGGATTACAAGACAGGAGCAATTGGGCCACCCAGCTGAAAAAAAAAAAACTGAAAATGTCGGCCATTTTGGCAGCAGCGGCGGCAGCAGCAGCAGCAGCAGTTAGAACTTTCTTTTCCGCATCTCGTGCGCATATTTCACACCCGAAGCGCCGCTCGTTCTCCGCCAGTTGCTTGTAAAATTCAAATTAAAAAAATAAGAGAGAGAAAGAGAGAGGCAGGGAAAAAACATTCCAGACCCACAAAGTGACCACTAACCGTGCGCTTTATTATAATGAGTGGTCATAAAAGTGGCATTGTTGCTGCGGTTGCCGCTCAACGAAATTCCAATGAAAATGCACCTAACATTTCCATTGATATTGATGCGTTTGGTAAACACACGCACACACACGGAGAGAGAGAGAGAGAGAGAGAGAGAGAGAGACGCACTAACACTCACTTGGCCAAGACAAGAGTGTAAAAACAATAAAAAGCGGATTAAATACAAGACAGCGGTCTATAAAGCGCTCCATAATCGATGCTCAGACGGGAGCAGCCGCTGCCAACGGTAACCCTAGACAAAAACAAACCAAAGGGAAGTAACTGAGTAACAAGCTTAACCAGCAAGAAAAATTTGGTGTGAAACCTACAAAAAACGAAAGACGAAACAAAATAAATGTATGCGAGTGTGTGTGTGTGTGTGTGTGTGTGTGTGTGTGGGTATCCACAGCACACGAGAGCAACAGCGAACTGGCGAGAAAAATCTCAGGCAGACGACGATGACGACGGCGACGGCGGCGGCGAGTGGAAAGTGAAGAACTTGAAGGGTCATAAATTAATAAACCATTAAAGTGGTTAAAATTATCGTTATTTTATCTTTGTTGTGAAGACTAAACTGATAAATTATTACAAAACAGAGGACAGCCGCACACAGTGACACAGAGAGGAAGAGAGCGAGGGAGCGAGAAAGAGAGAGAGAGAGAGAGAGAGAGAGGGGGAGAGGGAGAGAGACTGCCTGGCATGTTGGGTTATGCGACTAGTTGTGGTGACTGATCGCTTGGACAGCATTAACATGAACATGCACACACCGAGCATCGAGCATCGAGGATCGAGCAGCGAGCAGAGAGCACAAGAGGCAAACACGACAACAACACGCTTTGGGGCTTTAATGCGCGCGCGCGACCGCTCGCGACACACAACAACAACAACAACAAAAAAGAGTGAAAAAAATTAGTGTCGACAAAAAGGTTTACAGCCATTACTCTTCGTTGCTGCCGCTGCTGCTGCTGCTGCTGCTGTTTGGGCCACATACAAAAGACTTAGGCAACGAACTGGCCGCGCACCACTGACAACGCTGTGCCAAAACTGTCATAAGCGTGTGGTTTATGTGCGTCGGCCTATCAGCAATCAATCGCTCGGTTATTTATTAATAGCTGCTAGGCCATTGCATACCAAAGTTGTCAGCGTCGTGGCGCAACACATGGCATTGTTCCTTGCCGCCATTTGACACTGCAGCAGGACCACACACAGACACACGCACACACACACACGCACACAGAGGCATTCACACGCTGCAGTTGCATCCTTGCATTGGCCACTTGTTTAGCATTTGTCGGCTTATTGTTTGACCTTTTGATTTTGTTGCTGTCGGGGCCCAACTATTGATAGCCAATGACACCGCAAGGACCTTTTTCTTTTTTTTCTTGTTTTTTTGCTCTTGCTTAGGGTGTTCGTGCGGCGGCCTCTTTCATGAGCAATTAGAATCAATGAGTCGAGCAGCGCAAGGACACTCGCCACGGCCCTTTTGATGCTGCTGTGGGCCGCAACCAAAGTCAAAATATTGTGATGCCTGCTGCCTCGTGTGTGGCTATTTAGCCCAGCCTTTATGTTTTCTTAAGTCTTCCTCTCTTCTTTTTTTGTATTTGTGTGGGAAATTCCTGAGTCATCTAGAAATTTTAGTAGCTAGTTGAGAAAATCGGAATCATATTGCAAAAATAACGCAAAGAACTTGGCTGCTGGCATAACAAATCCAACAGCTTCCTCTCTGGGTGTTGCTCTCCCTCTCTCTCTCTCTCTCTCTCTCTCTCTCTCTGTCTGTCTCTCTCGCTCGCTCAGCAAGAAAACTTAATTGTTTTGGCCTTTTTGGTTGGCTAACTTCGCCTGTGTGCGCTGGCGCATTTTCTCTTGGCTCAGCTCTTCTGGCAGTTTCGTTATGTTTCGGGGAAAACTGGTTGCTTGCCATAATGGCAGCAAGTTATACTACACACACACACACTCTCACACACACACACACACTAACTCGCACACACAGTGTTGCTAACTTGTTGGCCGTTTCAGTTTTTCAATTAGGCCCGCGCGCAGGTTTTAACTCGGCATTTAATTCATCTTGGCCTGGCCTGAGAAACGCTTTGGGTGTCGTATCATCAATTCGTTTAATTTGACAGGCGCAAACCTAAACATGTCAAAACAACAACAACAACAACAGCAACAGCAACAGCAACAACAAGCCAACAACATGCGGTTAGTCGCTGTTTGTGGACCCGACTCTCAGGCTCTGCTCTGCTGCGACTCCTCTGACTGGACTTGGACGGTTTCGGGGCCGGTTTCGACAATGTAGCCGCTGCTTCCCATTTTTTCTCATTTTTGTCTGTCTTTCTTTCTTTTGTACTGTTGTTGTTGTTGTTGTTGCTGTTTTCTGTTACCACACGCTCGCACTCGAAATGAACAAGGCACGGCTGCAGACTGACAACTGGGCAGAAGACTGAGGAGCTGAGCATCGGGGATTGGGAGTTGGGAACTGGCAACTGGGAACTGGGTAACTGCAACTTGGCTAATTTGACTGGACTGCAAAATTTGCCAACGCCTGTCAGCTTAGCGATGCTTGTAAGTTGGGAAACATGTGAAATTACGCTTGTTAGTGTCACTTCTGGCTAACAGGCCAGCCAGACAGACAGCCAGCCCATTGCCCATTGCCATTGGCATTTGACATGCAAGCATGTTGGAATCGGTATATATATATATATAGAGAGTATATGCCATGTGTTGAGACTACAATATATGTATATGCAAGCTTACCTGATTTGACAGAGCAGTAGATGTGCCTCCGGCTGACATAGGACACCCAATCGAAGCCGGCCTCGACGGCCAGGCGGGCCAGCATGCCGTACTTGGATTGATCGCGATCGGAGGTGGCAATGGTGACGGCACGGCCCTCGTAGTGCAGCGACTCCTGGCCATGCTGATGGTCCTCGTCCCAGCTCTCGGTGACCAGCAGGCGAACGCCGGGCCACTCGTTCATCACTGAGTAGGCCAGCATATTCAGCTTCTCTCTGCAGCGCTGTGGAGCAAGAGGAAATCAATTAAAATATGCATAATTCTGTTAATAGGGCGCGCTCTAAATTGAAACTCGAGCAAGAAGCTAAAAAACAATACGCCATATTTAACGCACACGCACAATGGGCCCAAAGAGCCCAAAGAGAGCGCAGAGAGTGAGTGAATGAGCGAGCGAGACAGCAACAGCGCATGCTACTGGCAGAGCAACAGATGTGCGTGCGTGTGTGTGTGTGTATTTATATTGCGCTGGTATTGGAGAGGCGTGGTATTTGGGCATTCATTTCATGGGCTGCCCAAAAGGGCCAGCGTTCATTTTCAGTTTTCAACGTTTTTTTTTTGTTCGATTTTTTTTGTTGGTTTTCAGATCTTTGTTTTTTTTTATTTTGGTGGGAGGCCAAACGAATAACTTAGGCAACGAACTTGGTGGCTTTGGCCGCATCCTTTGAACCTGTTGAAACTCAACCTCAACAAATACATGAGTCTGACTATTTTCAGTTTTGGCTCTTGTTTGCATTTTCGTTTTCCTTTTCTTTTATGTGTGTGTGCAAAGGCAAAGGCAAAGGCTTAGTTCGATTATTTGCCCATGCACAGTTCAAATAATGACCCACAGCCAGAGCCAGAGCCGTAGACGGAGCCGTAGCCCTGACCCTCGTATGTATGAGTAAATATCAAAGATTAGACATTGTCTGACCTTTTCCCATTCTTTGCCTCTTTCTTTCGGTTACACTTGTCTTGTTTGCCAATGCGGTGGATCGCACTATATATGCATGTATATACATATAGGCATGTACATATGTAAAATATATATTTTGTTGTATTTAAGTGTCGGCGCATTTGTGTTTTCTCTCTGTTTCTTTCTGCTTTTAACGCTTGCATACAAAAAGAGAAAAAAAACAGACAAAAAAAAGAAAAAAGGATTCAGCGGCAATGCAAATATTGAAATTTCATAAGACAACAACCAAATTGAGTGCCCAAAAAAGAGAAAAAAAAGTAGAAATAAATAAAAAGGCAAAATATAAGGAAAATGTTGTCATTGCTGTGCGCAATCGCCAGCCACAAAATCAATTATCAACGGGCTCGGGTCTTGGCCGGGCGAACGTCGAGCGGCCAGCGCTGACAGTTAGGCAGGCAGAAGCCGCAGCACAGGATGTGTGTTTGGCTCATTGTGTGCAAACATTTGGCACGCCGTTCTAGCTGGCGTAAAATCAATTTTCAAGATCCTTTTTAACAAGCCACAACATCAGCCTGCCCCAGGTCGTATATATTTTGGGACTTTGTTTTGATTTTGGGTGCGCCGCATTGTTTGCAGTCTATTGAGACTGTTGTTGTTGTTGTTGTTGTTATTCGGTTGTTTGGTTGTTTGGCACTGCCAAGCAAATCGGTTTTTAATTTGTCACACCACAGTTGCTGGCTGTGGCGAATTGGACAGCAGGACAAAGCAGAAACACATTCCAAGAAGAGTTCAATGCTATTTGCATACATATACAAAGAGAGTGAGAGGGAGAGAGGGCGAGGGAGGTAGATATCTCTGTCTATGCAGCTTTGCTTTATTAAAAGGCTTAACCAGTCGAGTGCTTGGCTGCTGCTGCTGTTGCTGTTGCTGTTGCTACTTGTTGCTAATGAGCACAAAAGCGTAACGCCAAACAGCAAATAAAAGCACTGCAACAACAACAACAACAACAACAGCAGCAGCAACAGCAACAGAGCTGCATAGTCTTTGTCTTAAGCATGCCAACGATGTTTACCCAACATGCTAATGCATTGGCCTCTTGTTGCTTGATTGAACCGATCCGAACCGGGCCCGATCGCTGCACAAACACGGCCCCAGTCGAAGTGGCAAGAAGAAAATGCCGACGGGTACGTTAAGTAAACATTCGGCGTAGTCGTCGCCGTCGTCGTCGTTGGCGGCGTCGGCGTCGGCATCGGCCCAAAAAGATGGCTAAATAATGTGTTTGTATTGTAAGTGGCATGGCTGTTAGACAACAAACTTCAGCCCAGGCAGCGCAAGTGTAAATACGCGAGTGTGCGTGCATATGTGTGTGTGCACTTATGCCTTGGCCAAAAACCAAAAGGCCGAAAGAAAAGCTGCCGCATTAATTAGACATTAAACAAGGTGTGAACTTTGCCAGCTACAGCCACGCCCCAAACCTGAGCTGATTTGTTTACACTTGGCTTGCATTCGAAATACAATTTTTTTTTTTTTGTTCGTTCTTTCTTAGGAGTTTTCGATGTTGATTTTATTTTTTCCCTCTCTCTTTCTCTCTCTCTCTCTCTCTCTTCCTCTTTATTTTGTTCGTTTTCATCTACTGCTTGTCAGCTTTCAACGCCAATGCTGGATGCCCACGGTACGTTAGGGTCCGTTGATGCGTTTTTAATTGCCGCCTGGCTGCAGGTTTTATTGATTTAAATCGTCTGCCAGCTGCCAATTTGACGCGCTTAATGGCGCGCATTTAGGCGGCGCGAGAAGCGAACAGCGAGAAGCGAGAAGCGCCAAGCGCCAAGCGCCAAATTGCTGGCTCCATTATTGGGCTGCTCATCATCATTAGGCCAAGTGATGTGGAGCCATGTAAATTGCAATTAAATGCAATCTCGCCCAGCTTCAATTCGAGCTTTGTTTGTTTTTGCAACAATGACTGCAGCAGCAGCAGCAGCAGCAGCAGTTGCAGTTGCAGTTGGAGTCCAAGTTGCAGTTGCTTCAGTCTCCGATTACAATGGCTAATGATTAGGAAACGACACAATTTAACGACATAATTCAAGAGCGCATCAAGTTACGAGCCACAGCCAAATCACAGCCACAGCCCCAGCGCGTAGTCACCCTCGTTTATTTTTTCGCTTCATTTCTGCACTCCTTTTTTTTTTTTGGGGTATGTAAGAGGATATGGCATATCCTTTCTTGATTCGTCGATTGGCATCGCTGGCATCGAGGAAGCGAAAACTTACAACTGAGGAAGCGCAGCCGAAGGCGACCCATACAGGATATGAGCAGGGACAACGACACCCACTCGTACACATGCACACACATATATGTGTCAGCAGTGAGCAGTGAGCAGAGAGGCAGAGGCAGGAGGCAGCGGCAGCGGCAGCGGCTGAGGCAACCACTTGAGCGTGCGCCTTAGCCTAGCTCGTGGCTGTGTGGCTGTGTGGCAGCGCCTGGATGTGCCACTTAGGGGCAACTTAAGTTGCTTTTGTCAAATCAATCAGCGCCCAGCACGGTGAGCTCGGCCTGCGTGTGGCCCACTCGACGCAGCCAGATTTCCTCACTTAATTGGCGAAAAGAGCGACACAGCTTCTGATTGATTCAAGTGCCAATGGCAATGGCTGCGCGGCTGCTTGGCTGCTCGGCTGTCAGGATCAGGGCCAGGGCCAGACTCATTGACGACCATAAAAGTGTTAGTCGCGTTAAAAGCCTTTTTGTTTATTTGTGTTGCAAATCTATTCACAGCTCCGCATTTTGTATATTTCTCTTGCTCTTCCATTAGAAAATTGAAATTTTTGTTTATCAGGCAGGCTGTGAAGGCATTCGTTGCCGCCTTTGATTGTTTATGCTGTGTGCAGCGCAATTATTACAGCGCAATTTTTATTCACACTCCCCCTCGCTCTCACTCACTCTCTCTCTCTCTCTCTCCCTCACTCATTCACACTCTCCTGCTGGCTCAGTTTTGTTTTTTAATTAAGCGCATGACAAACTCACACAGTGCTCAAAAAGCCAAATGAAACTTGGGCTACGTCGCTGGCCTGAGTCATTTATTTATTTGATTATTCCTCTCTATCTATCTCAGTCTCCGACACTACCTCTCTCTCTCTCCCCCCTTCTCTCTTGCTTGTTTACGTATACACTATCTGACGCAGTGTTTGAGTTTATCAATATTCGCTGAGAATTCTCAGTTGGCCAATTGCTCTTTGATCGCTCAAAGTGTCGCCTGTTTGTTATTGTTATTGTTTCAATATAAATTGATACTCATTAAAAATATGCAGCAGCCGGCAGACAGACAGACGGACGGTCCGCCTGCCTGCCTGCCTGGTTGGCTTTTTGGCATTGGCTTATTGAATTAATGCCAGCGCTTCTGTCTGAGCTCCTTCAGGCTGCCTGCGATAGCATCTCGTTTGGCCGGGTCTCTACACTCTCTTGCCAAGGGCCATATAACTCGGTCATGTGGCATGGCGGTTGACATCGTCGGCGCAATAAACGATGAGATAATAAGCCATAAACTAAAGATAATAAGACTCACTAAATGCACACGAAATATATCTTAATAAAAACTGATTTTTAGTTGACAACTTGACTTATATATATTTATTTATATATATATAAATATATCTATTTTATAGTTGGCAATTGCCAATATTTGCTGTCTGATACATATATATCTATAAGCAGGGTATTTAATATTCGTTTTATTTGCGTATGACTTTTATTTATTATTAATTGTGCTTAATTTAGTTTCGCAACGCGCCAAGGGATCTCTCATAGGTATTTGCGGATTTCGCAATGCATTTGCTAGCTAAACATTTACAACTAAACGTTTACAGCTATTCGTCAACGTCAATTGCTACACTAAATAGTCAGCGACTAAGTTGGCCGTTAGCTAGTTAGTGTGACTAGCTGACTGGCAGAGATTTTCATTGCCTGCTGCCTGCTGCCTGCTGCCTAATGCCCATAAATCTGTTGTCAAATAAATGTCCATAAAAAGGCGTCATTTTATTGTTATTAATTAAACGCTATTAATTTGCAGAAATCGTAAATTAAATCTGTGCCTCGCCCCACGTCTCTCTCGCTGCCACATTAAATGCCCACACACACACACACGCACACACACACACACGCATGTGCAGGCAGAGAGTCATTTGGACAGGTAAGCTTCCCGAACCCGAACCCACGGCGCAACTTATGTGATAAGCGCCATAATCCCTGATGTGTGATTAACTTTGATGATGAGTTATGAGCCGCACATTGGCACTGATGTGATGCCGTGTTACTGTGCCGTGCCGTACCCCAATGCCCAATGCCCAAAGCCCCTCCTCCCCCCATCGCGCAGCTCTCGACTTCGAAATCGAAGCAGAGTCGTCCTACCCCAAGACGCAGCCAGATGACTTGCAGGAATCTGCTCCGAGGAGAGCCCGCAGCATGTGAAATGTGAGTCAGTCGCGTCGCCGTAATGTGATAGCCGCGACGCGGCCAAGAGATGCTAAGAGATGCCAAGAGATGTTATGCTATCCCGATCCCAATTCGCATCGCGATCGCCTTCCTCCACTCGTGCAGTCCATAAAACTCTTTTATGCAAATAAAGCAAAAATTCGCTGCGAAGGCATTTGGGGCCAACAAATCCTTGAGGTTTGCGCTTGAGTGCGCTCGTAAAAGTATCAAATTGATTAATAATAATATAAAAGCTTGAAAAGCCAAACAAATAAACTATAAAAGCAGAGAACCAAATGGCAAATGGGTTTGTTTATGACTGTGTGTGTGAGTGACTGTGTGTGTGCCTCTGTATGTGTGTGTGTGTGTGGGATTTTCGGCAACGATTTGTCCACTTTGCTTGACTGATGTTTGTTTGATATGTTTGATTACTTTGTTGCCACGAAATATTCCCACGAATTGATGGCAAATATTTTGCTTATCGCAGCATTTGACGTGATTTGATTTGAGCTGTACGAAAATCAGCAAGAGTGAGTGAGAGAGCGAGAGAGAGAGAGAGAGAGAGAGAGAGAGTGAGAGACTCTGAAACTGAAACTCTGACATCATCTAACTGGCTGTTGTGACCCTGTCTAAATGCGTTTGTCTCCCGTCTCTGGCATAATAGGATCAATTTTTGAGTCATAATGAATGTCAGTGTTCTATTAATAATGCCTTCAGCTGTGGGTTATCTTTGATTTGATGCTTAATGCCTGATGCTTCAGGCTCTGTCTCTATGGTTCTGGTCTGCCGCTGCCGCTGCCGCATGCATGTCAATAATCATATCAGATTACCATTGCCTTTGCCCCATTGTTGCTACAATTTATGAAATTTTAGAAGTTATGCTGCGGCTTTTTGACGCATTCTTTGTCTGGCTGCGATTGCTGCGGTTTTTCTGGCTGGCCCCACAGGCGCTGCCTGCCTGCCTCCTCTTACGRTTCAGGGCGCAACTTTGTCTAATCTGAAGGTAGGCCCCGAAGCTGAAGTAGCGATGGATGCATAGCGAGCGCAGGTGAGCAGCAACAACAACTGACACAATGACTGCCATATGCTATACAATTTTATGATGCGACAGTCTCAGTTTGTGGTGCAATTGCAGTTGCTTCTGCAGTTGCAGTTGTTGCTATTCTCGCATTCTCGTATTCTTGTATCTGTTTTATTTTTAGCACTTTACGCCAATATTCAGTAATCTGTTTATGTAAACTGCTGCAACGCCCACACGATGAGCACAGAGCGAAAAGAAAACACAATTTTCGCTGCCTTTTTGGCGCTTTAATAGCCAAAACGAATTGCTTCACGCACAGCAGCGAGTCAACAGTTTCCACAGTTGCACATAAAACGCAATTTAGCTGCGCTGCCTGGCTCAGGGGCACTGTGTCACCGTGCCACCAAATGGCAGCGACTGGCAACTGAGTCAATGTCACAACGGTAGCAGCAGCAACGGCAACAGCAACAGTTGTAAATGTCTACTGTGACAATAACTGCGAGAGTTTTTATGTTCGGCATGTCCTTGGTGCATAGGGTCCTTGCTGTCAGCAGGCTGTTGGCCTTGAAGCTTCACTGTCCTTGACATGGCCATTGCTGCTGCTGCTGCTGTGTTAACTGTTTTTCAGTTCTTGCAACACTTGAAATTGCTTTACAAATTCAAGGCTGCTCTCGCAATTGCTGCAAATCAATTTCGATAGCTGCCTCCAGGCGCGTGTCAGACATGAATTGCAGTCATAAAACTAAGCCAAATCGCCGCCGCCAACTGCCAACTGGCAACTGTTTTGCACAGACTATTTTTGTGCTCATGCTTTGGATTCAAATCATATTTTACACCTGCCATTAATCGACAATGATTATGATCCATACGCACAGCCCACCACAGATATCATGTGCTTCCCAGAATCGAGCACATCATAAACATTATGCGCTCATATAACACTATTCGCATGCATAATCAACAGCTAGTTTCAATTGAATTTATTACACTTGCTACTGCCCGGGCTCTGGCTGAGTAATAATTCCGACACAAATAATTGCAAGTCAGCCTCGGCCTTATCGATACAGGGCGAACTGCGACTAATCACTGAAACTTACACAACCTTCTTTTTTTTACAGTTTTAATTTATCTACAAATCTTTGATTTGGCTTGTACTGCTTGGGTTTTTTTTTTTTTTGTGCCTGATATATTTGATGTAGTCATTAATAATCTTTTTAATAGAGCTCGCCAAATTAACGCCAATTTCGTGTTAGATTTATAAAATTTTTGGTTATATTCCAATTGAATCGGTTCAAATTAAAGATTTCTTTATAATAAATTTCATTGTGAAAAAATCCAAGTCCAAATTAATTGAAATATATAATATTTAAAATATGCGGCTGCTTTTCTCTTGAAATATAATTTTATACGAATAAATTTTAGCTCAATGAGTTCATTAATTATACTATTATAATTATTAGTTATTTTTGTATTTATTTAATTCGCTTTATTTTATTTTTTATTAACTGTGAGCAAACGTTTCTCAGAATAGAATTTACTTGAATGAAAATTGATAAATGAGAATTTTTTTATTTTATAGCATTTCAAACGAATCAAGCAAGATAATCTTTTTTTTTTTTTTTTTTGTGAAGAAAGTCAGTATAGCAAAATATATTGAAATACATATTCGTATATTTAAAGCAAAATAATATAATAAATATAAATTATATATTTCCAGAAGTCAAGTTAGAATATATAAGTATATAAAGATTCATAGACCGAATCATAGACATAAATAGTTCAGTTACAGCAAACGCGAGCAAGTTAATCAACGTGCCTAACTGTGCAGCCCTGGCCTTAATACAGACTATATTTATGTGTATTTAGAAACAACTGAATTTTAACGAGTTTAAAATGCAATTAAAAAAGTGTGCCTCTCGCTTATGTAAGTCGCATATGCTAGACAGTTATTCCGCAGACTTAAGTCATATTTTAGTTAATCACAGCGTTAAATCGATTTCGCGTAGCTGTTTACAAAGCGTAGCTGCTATCGCATTCATTTAGCACTTGTTTCAATGTGTCACACTTTGACCGACCCGCCAGCCCCCACGCCTAGTCATTGTCGCGTGTGCGTGTGTTCGTGTGTGTGTGTGTGTCCATTATTATTTTTTTTTTCCCCACTTTCGCTACGAGTCGAGATAAGATAAATTGGTGCTGCTGCTGCTGCTGCTCTAACTGCTACAAGTATTGGCAATGGCTTAACACGCATTTGTGTCAAAGATATACGCCACTCGGCAAATATGTGCATACACATGTCAGCAGGTGTGTAGCTGCTTGTCGCTTGGAGCACTGATGCACTCGATCGGCCACTGGGGCTGGAAGGCCTTATCGTCGTTGCGATAAGCGGCAAATGCTCGCGTGCCGCTGGCGCTGCCGGTGGGCGGAATCGGCGTGGGGTTGGGGCGTTGCTTGGGTGTAAACATATTGAACATTGCTCATTTGATGCCATTTCTTGTTTATGGCAAAATCGAATGCGTTATATAAACTAATGGCAATACACACACACACACACACACACACACACATTCAATCGAAAGGTTGTTGAACGCAATTGCTAATGCTTAGCGGCTTAGCGTTTATCGGGTGCGTATTGAAAACTCGCCTCATTTCATAATTTATTGAGTGCATGTTAAGTGGATTATATTATAGGGTTTATATTTGGAGCTTCCTGTTTTTGCAAAAATATTGCAATAGACGATAAGGCGCATAATTAATAAACAATAATAGCCAATTTATTTATAATGTTTCACGCCTGCTTTTATGGCACGTACTTGGCCAAAGGCAAAACTGTTGAGCACCCGCCATAAAAAGTTAACTATGTGTAACCACTTCACACACACACACACACACACACACAAACACGCACTGGCATGTTATCAATGGAACACGATTTTGATAATTGTTATAGATATAGCGGCGCATTCACACACCGCGATTAGCACGCACAAATTGGCAATTCATTTGGCAGCGTTTATTTATAGCCAGAACTGAATGAGGTTAGATCAATCATGTTGTTTTGGTCACTTACCTTGGACATTACGCGATCGGCGCCGGTGCCCTCCTCATCCCGGAACAGTATATCCTTATTGTAGTTGAGCACTAGATTCTTAAATTTTGGCGAATCCCGATGAATGACGCCCTCGAGGGGGCCGGAGGCGCCGTTATGATATTCGGATAAATTTGGCACAGTTTGCTTCAACACCAACGGATAGAGGTTACGCTCGCGGCGCCGTCCCAGGCCCCGGCCTGGACCGCAGCTATGCGCGTGCCGAAAGTTCAGCGCCAGCAGCAATAGCAGCAGCAAGGCCATAAAGCAGCTACCACGCGGCGTATGCGCAATGTGCCGGAGCTTTCGTGCATGTGCATCGACTGGCGCTGATTTGTTGTTGACATCGAGCGACGCCTGTCCGTCCGGGCTGCTGGGCTCTAGGCTGTGGCGTTTGGCATCCAGGGACAGGCAGGTGGCACTGGCACAGGACCAGAGCGCCGAGACAGCTTGATTGTTATCCATACTGTGTGTACTTAGGTTAAGATTTTCGATAAAAAGCGTAGTTTTTTATTAAACTTATTTATTTTCGTTTGTTTTCTTTTTTGGTTATTTAGCACTGCACTTTGACACTGATTTACATGGAAGCAGTTGAGTGTAGCGGCACTATCGCAGTCGATCGAGCGACTGGAGCTGACAGTCAACAGCTTTTGCCTTGACGGCTTAGTTCGTTTCCTTTTTGATTTTGGCTAAACAGTTTTTTTTTTTCTTTTTTTTTTTTTTGTTCGGTCACAAGCAAAGAAACAAAAACATTTTTATCGCCGCGAATTATTTGCTTTAATATATATCATGAATAATATATGTTAACAATTTTCCAAAACAATTTAAATTTCAATTTAAAGGTGAATTAAAAGAATTTCCAATTTTCAAGTTCAACTGCGGCGCTTGTCAAATTGAGCAACGTTTCTCTTGCAGCTACGGAGAACGACAACCGCTGCGCTCGCACTGTGATTGACAAATGACATATCCGAGCGCACGAAGCTGGCGGCCGAGCGAGTACCGAGTACACCAAGTACCGAGGGTGCTTTTGCAGAACCCTAGGCAACGCAGTCGCTGCTGACGCGCGTCGTCGCGGTCGGCGTCAACGTTGCTGGCAATATCGAAACATGCTCATGCACACACACGAACACACACTCGCACACATTTGTTCGTGTATGCATGCTGCTCGCACGCATACATTCAAGCCAGACGTTCACTCGTCGTGTCGTTGTGTGCGTCTGCCGCTCATTGGACCTGAGCCCGACGATCATTTGGCGTTCATTTTTATGCTGGCTCGCTGTGCCGGCAGCGTGAGCGAGATAACTAGCGTATCGCGTGCGCCTCTCTCACACACACACGTGCAGTCGGGCCTGGTCTTATGTACTTATGCTTTGGGCAACAGATGTTGGATGACGGTTCATTATAGCCATGGCTCTGGCCATGTCTATGTGTGTATGTGTTGCCAATTGGATGCGCCTGTGTGTGTGTGTGTGTGCGTGTACGTGTGTACTACTGCTGCAATTTCTCTTAACACTTGCACTATTGACTCGAAATCGACTCTTGCGGCTTGTTAACTGCCGCCTGCCGCCTGCCGCCTGCCGCCTGCCCTTTCTCATGCCTTCTGCTTCTGTGGTCGTTTTTGCTTTGCTTTTCTTTTTATTTGTGTGTGTGTGTGTGTTTTTTTTGCGCATTGTTCACCTTTTGCCTTTCTTCATTTTTGGCTTCGCTTTATTGCTTGTAAATTAATAATGTTCCGGTTTTTTGTGTATTGTGCGCTTCAGTTTCGCTCGTCTTTGCCATTGCCTTCTACTGCTGCTGCTGCTGCTGCTTCTTCTTCGGCTTGTATACAACACTTTACACACATACACATCTATAGACGTCTACATATATGTATACGCACACAACTACACTCAGTCTCATTTGCCGCTGCCGCCAACGCTGCTCACTTTGTCATTACACCATTTTGCTTCTTTTGCCCCCGCCATTCGCCTCTGACTCAGTGGCCTCTCCGCCGCTTCGGCTCTCCATCTGTGAGCAGGAACTTCCGTTGGCGCTGAGAAAACTGTGGAATAATCTAGTTAAAGACCACCAGAGTCTAGCCAGGTGCTAGCCATATTCAACTATAGGTTTTCGAATGTTTCCTATAGTTTTTAGCTTATTTCTGCACCCAGTTAGCTTTTAGCTGGGAAGATCTAATCTTATCTTAAGTTTTGAAGAACCCCTCTTAATATTTTATATCGAACACGCAGTCCCATCATCGAGAGAGAAGTGGCTCAATGTCTATGCCTTTGTGTAACTTACAGATTTGATATATCGACAGTCCACAGGATGTGCGGCATAATGGGGCTTATCGATATCGGTTGACAAATACATTTCCTGTCATTCACTGCAAAATCGCAAATTATTTGCCAAAGTATTAAGTTCCGTTGGCGACGCACTGATATCGACCATAAATACAGTTATATATGTTAGATAAAAGTAATCGCACGATAACGCCACGAGCTAAACAACAATTCGCAATATCGCAAAAAAAAAAAATAAAAAAATAATGCCACGCTTCCAATTTGTCATTAGTAAATTGAAATTCAAAGTCTAACCAGATGCAGTGAGCCAACAAAGATGACAAATATATGGACTCATGGCAGTGGCCATGGAAGTAGCGAAGGGGGTGTGTGTGGGATGTTTGTTTCAAATGCATTCACTTATCAAATGCTATTAATATGTCAGTTGACTTTAATTTGTTTGGCTTGATTTTAGTTAACTTTGTTAATCTTCATTTGACAAAAAGCTAGATCTGACGGGAAAAAAGCTGAAAAGCCATCAGTAAAGGCTGTCAGAAATCAGATTATTAATTAACCCAATTATGTATACACGAGCTATGCCAGCAATTCAATACGAATCAGTCCCCTATACTAACAGCCTCGCTACGCCCCTGCCTTATAGAGAAGCTCTGATGTACACAGATACAAAGTTTGTTTGTATCTTTTGCTATTGCTTTTGTCATTGCTGTCCGCTCGGTCGGCTTTCATGCCAGAATTTTCGTGCTCTGCTGAAATTTCGAGTTGTTTTCGCTTAGTTTTAGCAAAGTGTCAGCCATCCAACACCTTGCGCTCAACTTTGCCCTTCAGTCCGTCAAGCTGTGCGTGCGTGTGTGTGTGTGTGTGTGTGTGTTAATGTCTCACCCCCGCCTTGTCAACAGTGTTGACACTGGCACTTGTAAAGCGCGAACACGCTTGCGCTGTTTGCCTTTCAAATTGACACTCGGTATGTGATCAGAGTGCGATTTTAGCAGAGATAATGCCGATGCAGAAGTGGCCTTCTATCGAGTTGGCCAATGGGGGATTACCCATGGTCTTTTGGACTTTGTCTTAGCAGGAGCAGCAGGAGCACCTGTGACAGCAGTTACAATGTAAATGTTAAGAGTCTCTTGGCTGCTCAGTCTGTGTGTGTGTATGTTTGTATGGCAAGCGCGCATAATGCAAATGCAAAGCGTAGCATAATTTCAATATAAAGTGAAATAAAAAAGAATTCAATTCAGTTGGCGGCAAAGATATAAGCAAAAGCAAAACGCCATCAACAAGATACACGGAACCAAATTAAAGATGAAGAAGCTGAGCCAGCGGCTACAGCGGAGGCAGAGTCAGAGGCGACGGAGGCGGAGGCGGTGGTAGCAGCAGTGCCGCTCTCCAGACCCAAGAAGCTGAGCCAGCAGCAGCCAACAGAGGCCAGTGGAGCGTTTATACATATATACACACGTACACACATACACCCAGCTCCTCTCGCGCGCTCTCTCTCTCACTCTTTTGCTCTTACAGCATGTGTGCGTGTGTGTGTTGTCTATGTGCCTGCCACATAAATTTCTGGCTTGTCTGTGTGCGTCGGCTCATTATGTGCGCTGGTGTGCGTGCCTCGTTGAGTCTCTACATGTATATAAATGTAGGTGTGTGTGTGTACTGTGGGGCGGAGCTGCTTTAGGCGCTCATTTGTGAATGAACACGCCGTGAACCAGCGCCGCAGCGGTTGCCCAGACGAGGCAACGATCGCTACGATCGCTGGATGCCAAAAACTTAATGAGCATGAATAAATGGCAGCAACGGCGTCTTCTGAGACGGTGTCTGAGCCAAGTAACTGAGATGAACGCCGAGATGAGAGCTAAGCGCAGTTAATAATGTTGATCAGTGTGGAGATCGCGTTTTTGCGATCGTTAATACATATTTACCAAACAATACAACACATATGCGAGAGAAAGAGAGAGACAGACAAAGAGAGATAAAGAGCTAGAGATTAGTTTGTAATTAGATTTTGGGCATAGCTGTTATGTTAATATTAATGGACAGCTTTTAATGTAAGTTATAAATCGAAATTGACTTTTAATGTTGCTTTGTTGCAATGCTGTTCGGGCCAGGCCAAGAGCCGCACTTGGCGGCAAACATCCAAGCTGGTGCAGCCGAAGATGCTGCGTCTAAATTCCAATAGAAAACCGGAAATGCTTAGGCCATTCGTCGTCGTCGTCGTCGTCGTTGTGCATTGTTGCGATTGGAAAGAGGCTGAGGCAGCGCCACAGTCAGAGCCAGAGACAGAGCCACAGTCAGAGCAAGAGGCAAAGACGCCAGCAGCCAAGCCATGGAACGCCATTTTCTGCTGCTGCTGCTGTTGCTGTTGCTGTTGCTGCGTTAGCATCCAACGGCGTTGTCTGCTTTTAATTTCTTTTAATGGAAGTTGTTAACATGGCTGCTGGCTGCCTCTCCCTCTCCTTCTCCCACTGCCTTCGCGTCTCTGCGGCTCTCTGGCTGTGCGCTGCACAGCTTCCCATGCCCTTAGCCATACCCATAACCCATACCAATACCCAAGCCCATTCCCACCAACGCCACGGCCTGGCTGGAGCTGGAGCTGGAGCTGGAGCTGCAGCGGAGCTATGGCTTTTGATTTGCTCTTTTTTGTTTTGGGTGCTTCGATCATAAAACTTCGATATGAAACTTGTATTTCTGATGCCCATTGAAAGTGCAGGGCAACATGATTATGAGAAAAAACTTGCCAGACTCCACAATATAGGAGCTGCGGCGGATCATATAATACGAGTATCGGCTGAAATGTTAATTTGTTAATAAAGAGCTTTGTTCTCATTGTTATTGTTGATTTCTATCTTGACTGAGCCAACTTTTTATTGCTGCAAATTATTATATTTAATTGAAAAAAAATAACTAGACGATTTTTGATTTCCTCCAGGAATCGACATCAGCTTCTATAAAAGAGATTTTGCATATTTTGTTTAACACTTAAAATATTGCTGTTTAACATTTGAAAGTTGTTAGAGAGTTTGCATAATTATTGTTTTTGTTCACTTTATTAATCTTATTATATGAAAAATCAATAATTAATTTATTTCGCTACAGCTTAAATCTATCAAAAATTATTGTTATTATTATACCCTTTAGGCTATAGATAAGACTATTTGGCTTCAATTATAAACCACTTCGCAACCACAATAAATAAATATATATA